TTGAGTAAACATCGCGGAAAATTTTTTCTAACGTTCTCGAGGCGCTTAATTAATTTTAAAAAAAACAAATTTTTGCAAGTCTTAATGTGTTGTTTTAAAGTTTTTTCAACAAGTCTAATTAAAAGCTGCAGCTGTACCAAAACAGAATGCAGTTGTTGTAACTTTCTCGAGAACGATTTCAAAATAGTACTTGCAGGCATGTGTTGGATCATGCTCCACATTGTTTTTGTAGGTGCTAACTGCTTCGTTGAGTTTCGCCATTTGATTGACCATCGTATTTTTCACACAGTCAAATGCTCCAGTTTTTTCCAACGCTTTATAAAAAGCAAAAAAATTGTTTTTTAGTTTAAAGTATGATATCTTAAAGCTGTATTAATTGATTAGTATTATCTTTGCTTACAGATTAAAAAATGAAATAAAAGTATAATAAAGGAAGTGGGGATACGCTAAGTATTATGTTAAAAGCAATTTTTTTTTACTTTGTAGCTAGAAGGTACTCTAAAATTTTCACATTTATATTCTAAAGTGTAAGGCTGATAAGAGAAGAAAAAATTAGCAGATAATTGTAACGCTACTAATGGCTAAAGTTTTGTAAACTGATAAATTTGACAGAAATCCGAATAGCCGTAAAAGAACTGTCGTGATGAATACAATTTGCAACTGCAGCAGTTATGAAGGTTTAGTTGATCATTCACACTGTAATCATAATCAACGTTACAATTTTCTGCTATTCAACTGATCATTATGTCAGGGTTGGCTCAAAAAAGTTATTCCGTTTATGTTCTATTTGATCTATAAGACTAAGCGTAGATATATCACATAATTACCATAGAATCCAGCACCACACTGGAATCTCCACATGTTGAGGTAACCGATATATGCATACGCTGAATATGGATCCATTTGTTTGGCTGTATTTAGGCCTTTGACACTTATACATGGCTTCATATATCTGCCCAGACAAGAATAGAATAGTTGTAGCCCACTAAAATATTGTTGTTAAAAATGACAGCACTAAAAAAAAATAATTTTAAATTTTATATCAAATTTATTATGATATATTTACAAGTTGTTTTATGAAGAATATAAAATCGTAAATTATATTTCACAAAAAAATTAATGAAAATTGCGTCTTTTTTTTAATCTTACTTGCAAATAGTTGATAATTTGTAAATATCTCCAGTGGCTAGTTTTTGCTCTAAAATGTCGTTAAAATATGTCGGGTCCAACCAAACGAGACTGCTCCTGCAAAATTTTTTTACCTATTACAGAATAGTCTGCTGTTTAATTGCTTTTATTTTGTTATTTCTTCGCAGTCTTTCAGTAAATTCTCGAAAATGTTGCAGAAAATAAACTTTTTTTTGTGTTTTTCAACTTGATAAACGTTATTAAAAAACTAGTTCAGTCTGTTTTATACTGGTTATTGAATATGTTTATGTTGATAACCTTTCAAAATAAATTGACAATTTTTGTTAACCAAAAACTGGTTACTTGCAAAAAATAATAGTGACAAAAAAATTAACTAACTGTTTGAAAATATAAATAATTGTGAAGTGAAATAATGGTTTAAAGTAAATTAAAGATAACTGAATTTTAAAAAAACTGTTCGAGGGTAATTAAAGAATAGAGATGTTAGGCATGGTCCTGAGTGGTTGATAGGAAAGATGGTTATGTTGTCAACAGCACTGTATCAAGATAAAAAGTATGATGCAGAAAAGCTTATTCTGTTTTTAAGCATTTTGGTGCTGTATTCTGAATTTATTAACTCTATCAAACAGATAATTGTATTTATAAATAACAGTTGTATGCAGTTGGAAATCGGATATTCAATTTCTTAACGGTGCAGAGCTAGCTTGAAACCTAACTGATTGTAGGTCATGCATAAACCCCTTTTTTTGTGTAAGTATCAACCAATTTTTTGTTAAGGTGCAGTGCTTAAACGGCTTACTCTAAAGGTGGTCCAATCTGTCGTGCCAAAACTGCAGTACATCTGTTCAATTGTACTGAATCACAGCCAATTGTGGCTGACGGTGCAGCCTGTGCTACCAGTAATGAAGCAGCTGAAGTTTAACAACAGTTTAGATGCTTTAGTTGACAGTGATAGCCATTGCCCTGCTGGCCATCAATTTGGTAACTATGAAGAAGTTTTTTTAAAATATATTGTTCTTTAGTTCGTCGGTGACTGTTTAATTCCAAAGTGTTATAATTTATTTTTTAAAAAATCTGTATTTGCTACCGGTAAAAAATTTTTTAGCCAATTATCAACAGAAAACTAACTACAAAGTGGTGTTTAAATGATAACGGTAGTGTGCAGCAGCAAAAAAAAAAAAGATATACGATAAAAATCATATAAAATTTAACGAAAAAAGAAAAAAAAACAGGTGGTGCTTTGAATGTGAAGAATGAAAGATATTTACAGCTGACAACAAATATGTCGTTAAGTAACGCTAAGAACACTGATTCATAGCCATAATTAATGAGCTGAAACCTCGGTTCACTTTTAGCTTTTTTTTTTTTACCCAAAAGTTTGTATAAAAATTCAGATAGTGAAAGAGTTTTTATCACTTTATTTGTTCTCTTTCTTTTTGACGAATAAATTTGAACTTTATACTATTTGTCACCGCCTATGTCTTTTGGTTGCTGAGTGTTTTTTTGAATGCAAATGGTATACATCAGATTGGTGACTCTGTAAAAATTCGTTAGGAAAAGCTTCATTTTCACAACTAGTCTTTTAAAAGAACAATGGAATAAATAGCAAAAAATTTTCAAAAACTTCGAAAAGTTTATAAAAAAAACTTTTAAAAACAAAAACTAAACTAAAAAACTTTCAATTTTTTAAGTACTAAAAGTTGTTTTTAGATTATTTTTTTTTGAAAGAGAACTAATTTTTGTGTTATTTATTCATCTTTTTCAATCTGACACTTTTTTTTGAAATTGTAAAAATCTTCAGAAAAGAAAGTATGATATATATATATATATATATATATATATATATATAAATGTTGTATAACAAGTTGAAAAAATTGTAGTACAACTATCAGTTTCAAATCGGATTCCTTTTTCCTTTTTCTTTTAAGCCACATTACTTTTACAAAATTTAGAAACATTGAATAGGTGCAAAAATCTTTGACAATTTTGTAGTAACAGCATTGATAATCATTAGTAACTGCAGTTACCAATGTTCTTCTGTTATCTTGCAAACGACTATCTTAAGCCTAAGCTTATTTAAAATTGAACTGTTTTTTTACAGATAAATTATAACATCTAGTTGACGTCATCTTAAAAATTATTAAAATTAGTTTTTCTTTATGAATTAATCAGCACAAGAAAAATTTTCAAAATGGTTAGTGAATATGCTGAGAAGATTACGCAGTAATAATTGTACTGATAGCTGACTTTTCTACGATAATCAAAAGTGGCGTAACCCATGAAACTAAAGGCTATCATTATTTATAGCAAATACACTTACAGAATTAGTGTTAAATTTGAAAAAAGCGAAAATAAACAAAACTTGAGCAAAATTTCACAGTTTATGCTAACTTCAATTTAATAAGTAAACCAATTTTTAAAATTATTCGCATTAAATTTCGTTTTTAAAATTGTCACTTGCGCTGAAAAATAAAAGATATGATTTATTCTGTACGACTTTTGACTTTTTTCTTTTTTGACTTATTAAATTTATAATGAAACCTTTATATGTTGCGTAGTTTAAATGCTTTTTCTTGTTTGTACTTTGAAAGAAAAAACAGTTCATTGAAAAGTAGGTTTATAAGTGAAGAAAAAGAATATCAAAACTTATACCTGCAAATAAATAGGTGATCCAACAGTACATTGATGACGCTTAGTGGTCTTAACAGATCACTGCTTATAACACACACCGATGTTTGATGGAGTGTAAAACAGAAAAATAGCATACAAAAAAGCTATGATGCTTTATTACTTTTTATTATTTTACTTTTACAACTGTATGTTAAT